CTCTCACTGTACAAAGGACCTAGCAAGTTCTTCACACGCCTATAATGGCCGAAAGCACTACCGTAGCAATTCCAAGAGGAGCATGTGTGCGAGCAGCGCGTCCAACTGTGGCTCGGTGTGCCTCTCCGACTCTCCGTGAATGCCTCCCCCCAGCCCCCACAGCACACTGCGAGCAGCATGGGTTGGAAGAAAGCGAGCAAGCCAGTGGTAGAGTGCGTGCTCTCCGCACCGTCATTTTGTGTCACAACTCACGAGACCCGAATTCTCGAAGCAACGAAAAGAATGTAAATAAGAACGTCTCTTAGTGGGATGCAGGCGTCTGTGGCACCGCAGAGGGTTCAGGTGTTCTTTTGGTATTGTTTTTGTTTTCTGTTTTTGTCTGTGAATTTTTGTTGTCGGTCGATCCATACACAAAACTCGCAAAAGTCACATGGATGGTGACAACTGAGGCTGTATGCGAGGTTTGCTTTTTGTAGTTTTACGGTTTTCGGCCTACGGGTCTTCGGCCCTCGATCGGTCACTCAGTCTGTAAATCCGACGGTCCGACCGCCCCTTCCCTGCCAGCAGGCTCTGGGCATCTCGGCTGTGGCTTTACGTTCTTGATGAGACGATGTTCTTCAAAGCAAGCTTGCGCGGTCCAAACAGAAAGCGAGGGAGTTGGGCCTCTAAGACGGGCTTTGGAAGGCCTCATACGACTTATGTGCTTGACTTGAAATCGCAACTGGCCAAATAGCGTCTTGACTGTGCGACGTTCACTAAATCACGTTCACAGATTCACAGAGCCCGTTTACAAACGCAATGCCAAGGGGACTGGCGGTTCATGACATCCTAGACACGCGCCCCCGTTTGACGATTCGGTTCAACATATATGTTAAAGACGCCCCTTCATTTGCCGAATACAAGCTAAACATACACCTCATATGGCGATTCCGGCTCACCATAAATCTTAACACGCGCCCTCATGTGGCGAGTCCGGTTCACCACATATCTTCAACACGCCGCTCCCGTATTGGGTGATTCCGGTACATCATATATATCTTGAACACGCCCCCTCATCTGGCGATAACGGTTCATCACATGTCCTTAACACGCCCCCTCATTTGGCGAGTTCATCACATATGTTAAACACGCCTCCCCCATTTCGCGATAACGGTTCATCCTATATCTTAAACATGCCCCCCTCATGTGGCGATATCTGTCCATCATATTTTATCTCAAACACTGGCGGACCGACTGTCCGACTGACTGGCTGCCCAGCGCTTGGCGCATGGACCAACCGTCTGACCGCCCGACTGACTGACAGACCGGCGTGCTCACATATCGACGACTTCGACGCACCGACTGACTGACTGACTGACTGACTGACTGACTGACTGACTGACTGACTGACTGACTGACTGACTGACTGGCGGGCTCGCGGATCGACGGACGACTGACCGACGGGCCGACTGACTGACGTACTGCCCGGCGGCTCGCGGATCGACTGACTGGCTGACTGACTCGTCGCTTGAAGCCATTCAAGCGACACAAAAAAAACAGAAAGCGTACCCAAAAATAACCCCCAACCCACCGCAGAGCCTCCACGCGAGTCTATGGTTGACGCACGGGCGGTGTTCCGCCTTCGCTTGCTCCCGGCAGTCTTGGCTATTCAACCATCCAGTACTTCGGGGGAACTGCGCAGCGTGGTTCTCTTCAGCCCAAGGAAGGCCGGAACCCGCACCCTCGTAGGGTGGACTTGCACATGGGTGGTTGTCAAAATTATGGTCCCTTTTTGGGTCCTTATTATAATACGGCACCTATTATTTAGGGTACCCCAAAAGGGACCATAATTTTGACAACCACCCACATGGTTCTCTCTTTCTCTCTCTCTTCTTCCACACAACCAAAGGAGAAGAGTTCCCGCCTCCGGCGGCACGCGAGCGCGCCCTGGTTGTTCCTTCTTTCTCTGGGCCAGACGGTCCGGCCACGGACCCCCACCTCCTGTTGGGGATTTTGGGGCAGCTGGCAAAGCAAAGAGGGAAAGCAGCAGACGCATAATCATTCTCCATTTCCGGAAAAACACAACGCACCCGAACAGAGTTGACGCCAAAAACAACATACACATACCGTATCGCTTGCTTGCTCAGGGTCACTTCGAAAAAACAATCGCTTTCTCTTTTCCCTCTTCCCTCGTACCCAGCAGTTTGGCAAGAAGCTCGCACTGAAGAGGAACACTATGTCCGAACCCCCATCTTGCAATCTGTGCAAAACCCATAAAACCTCACGCGCCCGACACAAGAGCAAAGCATGATCAAATTGGTCCGTCTCTTCTTCACTCTTGCTCTTCCGTCGCCCTCCTGACGAAACGCAGAGGGTTTGTTAAACCGAGCCCCACCCCACTTTCGGCACGTGTGCAAGGCGAAGTGCTGGCAGGGCACAGCCTCATCTCAAGGATGCCCTCCACGGCAAAGGTGGCGCTGGGTGGGGGCGGTAAGGCCGGGAAGGGCCAGCGACCTTCGGAGCGAGCCGCCTCCTGGAGCCTTTCCTCCTCCAGGCTTAGGCGGGCGGCAGCTCGGCGGGCAAACAAGTTCGGGCTGCGAACCAGCAACTCCCGCAGGCTGTTGGCAAAGTTCGCCTCGATCCTCATCTTCGCCTCGCTGCGACACCCCTCCAGCACCTCCTCGGTGCACTTGAGGTGACAGAGCCGCACCTCGTCTGCAGCTCCGTTGGAGACGGGCACCCGCACGTGCGGCCACCATTTTTGCAGCTCCCAAGAACAGAAAGGACACCTCTCCTCCGTTGCGTCCTGCCTGGCCCTTGCATCCTTGGCCCGCCCGTAAGGTCCACGCTCATCGCGGACGGATGCGTCGGTGACCATGTATGGGTTGTAGATTGTAGCTGATGCTTCCGTCTACGGTTCCCAACTCCGAAAGCTGTAGGTTCATGAGTTCAGCGATTGACCACGGATGACACTCTTAGATTCTTAGATGTTTGCAGGTTCTCGATAGTTCTCAGGCTGCTCGTGCCGTTCTCGATGCGTTTGAACATGTCCTGCGTTTGGCACAGTCTCACGGCGATGTAGCGAGGGCGAGCAAGGACAAACCGAGACACGGTTCAAAACGAAACTTTTGCCGCCCCAGCTCTTGCGATTCGTGGCTCTCTCAGCACCCTAGCTTGCGAGCATGGCTTGAATCTCCTTATGGGTTTCATGCACGCAGTCATCAGGCAGAGCTCTTACTTCGGCATGTCGACTCTTAGAGGCGGCGAGTGCAGTTGCGCCGATGCTTGGATAGCTTGACATCCGACACCCTCCCTAGCTTCACGTGAGCAGCGGCCGGCTACTGAAGTCACCCGAGCCGTATCCGGTCGGGTCCAGAATCCTTCCGCCAACACGAAAAGCATGGGAAATCCATGGGTGCTTCAGTACAGGCCTCGGTGCTGGCCAGAACGCCGGACCTCAAAGCTCAATGTTGCGGACACCCTTCAGCCTTAACCTCGGCCAAGGCAGCAGCGGGCCACTCGAAACCTCGCTTGCAAGATGAGAGCAGACTAGAGAAAACGCACTGGCGCGGTCGCGACATGCCTGCAAGGAGATCGGTCGCTGAGGAACCTAGCGCAGAGAAGCTTCGCATCCAGCCTTTACCTGTCGTGGCTGTTGGTGCCTTTGGATCAGCGGGCGGATTCAGAAGAATCCGCACTGCTTCGGCGGCATCTGCCTAGCACTTCGTCCATCTGTATGCTCTGCTCGGTCTGCCAACTGCAAGTTACACTGCTACAGGCACTGCAGCTGAGCTCCCCACATCCGTCAAGCAGATTCTATCGTTGGTGTGCACCGAACGGACTTTCATCCAAGGCGTTCCTGACAAATCACACTCACACGCACTCAACGTGCTGGAACAACATGAAAGATGTAGACATAGGAACGGTCGTACACGGCTCTTGCAGCTCTCAGGCTTCTTTGCTTCGGGTTTCCATGGGTTGCCCGGTGCACAGCCCACGGCTTCATTTAGGGAATGCGAACGAGCCCGTCAAAATTCACTCCATATCCCATCCGGAAGCCACTTCACTGACCGGATAACTCACGTTTCCAGCTGTGAGGCCAAGCAAGGTTTGAGGATACTGTCTTCCAAGTATGGAAGCTCATAACATGCATTCGTCTGAGCATGGGATTTCGGATCCTTTAGGACAACGCACACGAGGCGGCATGGAGACCGAAGGCAAGACTGGGTGAGCTCTACGGATTGAGGGCCAGCACGGCCGCCCCGAGTACTGCAATGCCTACCAGGGCCTACACCCACTTCAGCACACTTTAAAATTTGAAGACAGTCCGGCTTCTTGGAAGGCATCTGCGAGCATCTCAGGCAGTAACCAGCTTGTCTCAAACTGTCTGCCCAGTCGAAGTCGAGATCGTCCAACGCAACCCATGCTGTGACTTCAGGGTGGTCCTGCGCGAGGAGGGTCCGAAAAGTAAAGTTTGGTCCGGATCTGGGTCAAGTGAGGGTAACTACCACTGCTGCCACTGCTGCTGCAAGCTTAAGCGCAAGCGGAGTCCTTGAGCCACTTGCCTATCTCTCTGGCGCGACGCTCACACCAGGCATAAATTGCATTCACCTGCTAAGCTCTGGTGCCCGTGTTACCGACGGTTTCGAAGGTGATCTAGGCACAATCAACTCCAGCACGCTTGCCGCCAAAACAAGGCTTAAACCGACTGGGACTGGGCCCAGAAACCGAAGGACATTGTTCACCATCATTAGCCACAGTCAGGGGTGGTGCTGGCGGAGCTACACGAAAGGCGGATGGCCGTGCTGCCAACTTGAGTCCCGCAAGTCTTCAGATGTGCAACCGACCTTCTGAATCTCCGGCCTGGCACCAGAACTGGGAGTGCAGCCCGTCAAGTACTTGTTGCTTAGAAATGTGTAGTCGTCGGGAATGCGCGAACATGTGCAAACACTTGCCCCAGCCATCCTCGGATGAAATATAGGTGTGCTGTCGCGGATGTATGGAATGTCCTGGCTGCCGGAGTGCATTGCAAAAAGGCTTTGGGAAGGCTGCGGCGGCTCCTGGCTCTTCAAGACGGCATTGATAGACGACTTCAGATCGTCACCACGCCTCTTGCGGGGCCACTGTGCTTTCGATTCGGGGGCAAGATCGAATGCGTCCTCCACTCAGAAGACAAGACGATGGTCGCCCCAGTTTGCTGCACGATCTGCACAGGATGCACAGGAGGAGCCACTGTCTCGACATGTAGAAATGTAGAAGAGCAAGAAGTACAATCAAATGATCGTGGGGAGCGCACCGCACGAAGGCTACCCATAGCCTGTGCCGAGAAGTCACTTTCTTTCACCTGAAGCGTCGAGCAGGAATGGAAGAAACACGTCAGAAACCACAACATCAGTCGCCGACAGATGCAAAACAATGTCGAACTCTATTTCTGGGCACCGGACATGACTCTTGGCCTCAGGGCAGTGTTTCGGCTCTTCGGGAATGGCTCAGGTATGCCAGGAAGGCGGCAAGATTTGGACTAAGATGAGACAAAATGGTCGGGCCGGTGAGTTTCAGGAACTCGCTGGCAGCGTGACACCGTCAACCACAATCATGTCAATGGAACCTTGGGTCAAATCACTTCAATGATGGCATCGGGGTCTCCATGGAAGGCGCCAGCCAGCGGGCAAAATCACCCCGTCCACATCCAAGAAGATGACCCTGCAAACGTGCTTTGCTGCGGCTGAAAAAAGGGTCGCCATCTCCACCGCCTGGATTTCTCCGGTGGCGGCAAGGCCGGTCTGGAGAGGTGGTTCTTCACCTCAATTTACGCAGAAACCGTCAGCGTGCAAAAGGATGCAACAGATTCGCCGGGGACTTCACGGCCGCTGCCTGCCACAGAAACACTCCACTCCGTACATTTACCACTCGTTTAGGTGGCCAGGCGTGGTGTTCGGAAATTCCGGCCTTAGCTGCCTCGTCCTTGACAGGATCGGGAGGTGGCAGGAAGTCGTAAAGCCTCTGAAAACCAAAGGACCACTCTCTTCTGCTCAAGTAGACAACTCTGGGATCGGGCCCGCCGAGCGCATCATCGACCTGTAGTCTCGAGGCAGCTGCGAAAGCATGCGCCGGCCGTGGGACGAAGAGTTAGGCCCAGTTAGGCGCCCTGCAGCCGGTGCGGCTGCGATTTTGGCCTTCTTGCGGGCTCGTTCATCGGAGCCTTAGAATCCCGGGAGCCCCTCTCTGAGTCACGGCACGAGTTCCAGAGCCAAGGTAAGCATCGTGCCCATGGCCCAAAGCGGGATTACCCAGCCGCCCAGCCCCCCAGCGGTGACCTACCTCAGCCGCCTCAGCCGCCTCGACCCCCGCCCAGCTGGCAGAACTGCGTCCGCATCTACCCGATCCTGGAGCCGACTGGACAGGAAACAGGGAGCTCTTCAAACTGAACCCCACGGCTTCCCCGAGACCTTTGCTGACAGCTCTGCGTCAGCAAGCAGGACAGGCAGGCACGCATCTTTGCTCCATCGCGCAGCGGGATGAAGCGAGCAGCGAGTTCACAGAACCTGTGAGAGAGCCTCATGATCTTCTCTTTGCGCTAGTTTCTGTTCTTCTGGGTGAACATGAAGCTCCTTCAGTCTTCCAGCATCTTCCATTGTCTTCCAGCTCTCAAGCCGCAGCTCGGAAGAAAGCTCTACTCACGCTGCCACCTTGCCTGCAGCAGACTGCCTCTGTCTAGCAAGTTCTCATGACATGCCAGATTTCAAGTCTCCGGCGCGAAGGACATTCCTGGACGTACTTGAAGTGGCAGCTGCAACGAAGTCCGGCGCCTAAGGCTCAAAGCCCTGTGCACGGCGGCACGGAGCCACAGACGACCGAGGATTGCGAATTCAAGACAACAGCGAAAGGAGTAGAGCCCCGGAGGAGGAGCACACAGCGAAAGCCTGAGGCGCCTGCGAACCAGCATTTTCGCGCAGGCGCGCGTTCTGGGCCGTGGCGGCACACTGGGGCCTTCTCTAGAGCGCAATCAAGAAACATCCTCGTCTGTGGATGCCACGGCCTGTCGTAGTCCCGCCCCTTCCTGGCCCTGTAGCCGGCACTGCCGTGGAGGCTGGCACGGGTCAAAGCTCGAAAGAGTCGATTCGGCATGATCTTGATGCCTGCTCTCTTCTGCCCAGACGACCTGCTGCCACCTCAAGAATCATCGGCACAAACACTGGATGACGAAAAGCACATCTAGCTGGAATCTAGCTGCGAGTGATAGAAGACACGAGGGCCAAGCCCGAGCTGGCAGAATCGTCATCCGAAGCCTGCAATAAGGGAAGGCTCCGACTGGGCTCGCGACCTGTCCGGCTCTCGCCTCTTCGCTGCTTTCACCCCCGCTGCTGGAGCTGGCCTCCAAAAAATCTCTCTAAAGCTCCCGAGAAGCGAAACAAGGGTTCTGCAAGGTCCCCCACGGAGTCCGAGCTGGCCTCGGTGCGTCAGAACCACGATCCAAGAATGCGAGTCGAACGAAAGTCGCCGAGTCCGAGACGGAAGCTTCGTCCACTGCAATCTCCGGCGGGGCATCCTCGGCTATCTGAGCCTAACTGCCCTAACGCAGGCCCACAATTAAATTCCATGAAAGCTCGCTCACACCCTAGGCAGACTTGGCCTCACCAACTTCATCCTCCAACACGCTTACTATGAAAGACAAGGAAACTCCCCACCCCAACACCAGGAAACCGATGTCAGCGGAAGGACAGGGCGAGGGAACTGAAGTGCCGGCAAAGCCTCACCATTTTCGGTTTTCGCCCGCTTCCCCTGAGCATGACCCACGTTTGCGAACGATGGTACCATCAAGATCCTAGGCAAGTCAGAGGTTTAACCCTTCGAGCCTGCTCGTACGGAACACACTTCACTGCCCTGTCCTGACTGAGCTGCGGCACACGCACACGCACCTGGTGCGTCAATGAACTGCCAAAGTCCTCTGTCCAGCCCACATCTTTACCATCAAAGAAGTGCCAGTGTATTTTAGACCTGGGCGAGCAGCTTCCCTGAGAAGCGATTCTATCCACACGCAGCGCTGGAGAAACACTCGCAGACAAGCCGTTGAAACAATCAAGGGGATCGAACCCAGCTGCTGAAGGCGGCTTCGTGCCACCGTCCTGGCCATAACTCTACTCGGACGCACTACCGAGGCAGGGGAAGGGAGGGGCAGACCACTTTTCCAGGAGGAAGCTGTGCATCGGACAGAAAGCGAAGGGCTGTGCTTCTTTTTGAAATCCGTGTGGCTTCCCGCAGGGTGCAAAACTCTTCTGCAGTTGTGGGATGCAGTGCGACCGTCTGATCAAACTGCTCCTTCTGGGCGCCGGCCTTCAAGGCAATCGCCAAACCCTGCACTATCTCGGGCGCATCATCTCCTACCATGTGCACACCAACAATCAAGCCGGCATGTGAACCTCGGCTCACCACAAGCACCTTGATTAAAACCATCTCTTGGCCAGCGCGGCCAGTCGGCATCGTGTGCTTCAGCGGCTTGAATTCACTCATGAATACTTTCACCTCGCCAAACTTATCCACAGCCTCAGCCTCAGTTAAGCCGCATGTTGCAACAGGCGGCTGGCTGAAAACAGCACTTGGCACATTGTCATAAGTTGGAGCTGTGGGCCTGCCGCCGAACAGTGTCTCCGACAATGCCGACGCTTCCATTAAAGCCACCGGCGTCAGGCTCCGTCGAGATGTGACATCTCCGATGGCAAAAATGGATGATACAGTTGTTCGACTAAGCTTGTCCACCAAAATCCTGCCACTGACAGGGTCTATCTCAACCCCGATCGCTTCCAATCCAAGATCTTGTGAGTTCGGGCGACGGCCCGTTGCGAACATAACATTGTCAGTCTCTACGACTGTTCCTCGATCTGTTCGGAAAACAAGTCCTGCACGGCTCCGCTTGATGCTTTCTGGCTTCTCGTTTGCGTGCAAGTGGATGCCTCGTTGGAGCAGTGCATGTTGCAGATGAGTGCGCACGTCTGCATCGAAGCCATGCAAAGGCTCTTCCGCTCGAAAGACCAGGTGTACCTCTGAGCCATAACCAAAGAAAAAGCTGGCAAACTCCATGGCAATATAGCCCCCACCGACGATGACAATTTTTCGAGGCAAGCGTGGCAGGTCAAGGGCCTCGTCACTCGTAAGAACGCCGGAAAGGTTTGCTCCGGGGATCTCAGGAACTACTGCCCGGCTCCCGGTCGCTATGCAGATATGCTTCGCCTTCAGAAGAGCCCCGTTCACCTCGACAGTGTGCGGGCCAAGCACCCGCGCGTAGCCCTGGAAGACTTGAACTTTGGCCTTCGCCAAGAGCTCTCTGTATTTGCCACTCAAGCGCAGCACTTCCTTGTTTTTCGTCTCAATCAGCCTTCGCCAATCGAGGCGAGGACGAAAGCGGCGGCCCAGGCTGTTTAAGTCCCAGCCATAACCGACAGCATCTTGGAGCTCATCGTGGAGCTGGCTGCCGTAGACCAGTAGCTTTTTCGGCACACAGCCACGGATTACGCAAGTCCCACCTAGACCACCAGCCGAGTGCTTGCCACTGACAACGGCAAACGGGAGCTCAGCAAGGCCAACCCGTGCACCGTGTTGTGCACTGAATCGAGCCAGCCGCACACCGGCACTGCCGCCCCCAATCGTAAACAAATCATAGTCGAAAGCCTCTTGATCACTGCTCGAACTAGTGAAACCAGAGTTCTGCAGCAGCCAGCGGCCGGCACACAGCAGCAGGCCAAACAAAACAAGCTTCAGTGCAACCCCCTGCACATGTCTGCGTCGACCGGGGGCTTCCATGAATGGCACCCTCGAGAATGGGGCCCAGAACGGTGCATCTGCAACATGGGGAATATGAGCCCAGCCATGTCGAAGGCGGTTGTGGTACGCGAGGCATGACAAGCGGTTACCAGCAATGCTGCAGCGATCCTTTGCCGGAAACCCTATCTGCAGCCACTGCAATCCTTGACTTTCAAGAAGGCGAAGTTCTTGTGATCCCCAAGGCCCTGTGCGCAGGACAAATCTGAAGCACTGTCGACTCAGTATGCTTCATCTCCTCGCTGATCTTCCACCGCGACTTCTCCTTGGAGTAAAAGAGGCAGCGACGCGCTTCGTCACCTGGCAGTGGCACCGCCGAGCCCTCTCGGATCGAAGCCGCGGTCTGGCAAGACTCTCATTCAAGGCACCTTTCTTGATTATTCTCTCATAGGCTTGGTGACCCTTGTATCCACCCTCCACTGCCATGTAGACACCATTGACGGTCCTGCAGTGAGTTGTTTCCATTAAAAGCTGGCAGCCCAAATTGAAGCAGCGCTTCTGAGGACATGGCGAATTCTTTTTGTTGCTGTCTCGCCTGAGAATCCGCAGCCACGTTGTGCCACATGCTCGCACGAACACATGCTTGTGCTGGCAGGTAGCCCTGAGATTTCGAGAGCGTGAAGAAGCTTGCCCTGCTGCTGCAGCCGCTCAATTACGACCTCCTGCCAAAAGCACGGACATCTGTGATTCCAGGCATGTCATCACGACCACACCAAAGTCACCAAAGGTTTCGTACTCAGGTGTTGCTGAGCAAGATACAGTAGGACTGCCCCTGCTAGCTGCTTGATTGATCACGGTCACCTCCGCATCAGTGGACTTTGGCCGCTTCCGTGGCGGCGGTGCTGGCTTCTCGACGGCTGTGGTGCCGTTGCTGGCAGGCACCCTGGGGGCGCCGCCTAGCCTCAACGAGACAGACAACAACTGTTTTCTTTCCACCGTTCTACCCATCGGCCTTTTGTAAGCTTCGTTCCTGTACTGCATCACCTCCTCCGTGCTGACGCCCTGCCTGCAGGGTTGAGTGAAAGGCTCGCGAAATTACGGCCACAGTTCGAGGCGAACTATGTGGTACTGAGGTGAGGACTCGAACTTGTAAAAGCAAACTCCTCGGGGGCACTCGGAGGTGCAGGGCGAGGCAAAGGAAGCCAGCTTGATAAGGAATAAGAACAGCACGGGCGATGCGCCCAGCCGCCTGCACGGGCATGCATAGCTAATGTGTAGTTAGCAAGTAACTGGTTCAGACTGCGAAAGTGTCCTCCACGTTTTTGGCTGCAGCGTGCACTGTGGTCTGGAAGTGCTTCTTGCTAGCGTCCGGGGTCGTGAAAGCGTACGCTTGCTTCTTCTGGTCGAACCTAACCTGGCAGCTGAAACAGCACCACGAATACCCCTCTATCCCGGTGTCTCTCGTCCCTGCCTTCTGATGTGCCGCACTGTCAGGAGGCGCATCCTTGCCACAGCATGCACGAATTCGGCACCAGCAGAGCCACACAACGCATCAAGCGCCTTCGCAAGAAACACACGAGGAGCATCAAAGTCTTGCTTGAAACGAGCCCTGCATTTCTGCCTCCAGCTCGTCTCCTGTCGGAGGTGGATTTGCCTGCCGCATAACTCTCAAAACAGATGTTGTCCTCTAAACGATTCCCTGTGATGCGAGCCTCCGGAGCAGCCTGAGAAGCAGGTGTGCTTTTTGATGTGACACCCGGCGCTGCCTGTCGTGGCAAATCGGCAGAGAGAACAGACACAGTCATACCTGTTACGCGCGCAAGCCCGAATCCGCTCCGTGGCATGAATCAAACAATAGCTTTCGTGACCTTTCAGCCTTAGGCAAAGTGCTCGGATTTTGGAGCATCCCGTCGCACTTGAAAGAGAAGTGGGGAGAAAAGCCGAAGCACATTGCCCTGAATGACACGGTGAGAAGCACCTGGACAGCAGCAGCAGCTACTGTTGTTGTTCCGGCAGCAGCCTGATTCGAGATGTCTAGTCTAGACAAAGCCGCGTGAGCACACATATCACCGGATTCTGATGACAACCTGCAATCCACCATCCAGACCTACAGAGAATCTGCATTTCGCTTTGATGCCTGGATGCATGACTTGGTGGGGTGGAATTATGCTTCATTGCCTTACCATTCCACTACACGGTTGATACACTGGCAGATGGTTGGACTACTCCCTCCACGCAGGGCTACTACCGTAGGATGGGAAGGGAGGCTTGGTTCTCTGAAAGGACTAGGTACGGGCCTTCTGAAGACGACCACGGCAATCCCTACGAAGTCCATTTCGAACTGCACCTATTGGCTGAATGAACTAACTACACGTGACGTATCGACGACTCGATCTTCAACGACTCGCTGCGACCAGCCGGAAGCAACTTCCAGCGCCATCGCCGAATTTTGTGTTGGAGGAAAGTCTTTGGGCACCAGAATGTACCCTTCCGAAGAAGCAGACATGGCTGGATGCCTGAGCCCTGGAAACCCCCGACCAAGCCTTTGGAGCGACCTCCGCGAACAGCTTTGGCATTGCCAGTGGTTCGCCACACTCGGCCGCTGTCTTTGCCCAGTTGGCACAAATGTCGAAGGTATCTGCCTCGCAAGACACGGGCTACTTGTAGCACTGTAGTGGCTCCAAACAGACTCTAGACGAGACAGGGCAGGCCTCGTCTTTGCCAGTGCAGCGATTACAAAGCAGCATGCGAAGCTGCCTCAGGACCGTTGGACCAGTCTTGTGTATAAAGACTTGGGATTGTGGATCCACAGGCTCGGGTTAGGGGTTTTAAGATTCGGGAACGATTCGGCGAACCTGCCTGTCGGCATGTCCCGAACGGTCACAAACCCTGTCAGAACAGACTTCGAGCATGTTGCGTTCCAGCTACTGGTTTGCAGTGCATGTGTGGCGACTGACTGACGATGAATTTTAAAGCTGTTTTGATGCAATACTTAATCCAACGTGTATCATGCATCGCTCCGGGCAGAAGCACACTGGACGCCAGAGCGCAACGGCCGATCTTGCACACCCATCAGCCTTTGTCTCATGAGCATGACGGCGCCGAGTAGAACAATGCACCCAGCCCACCCCCGAAGGACGCCCCCCACGAAATGCAAGACACTCAAATTTTAGTGCGTGATAGGATAGAATACCACGACGACCACAACGACCACCACCACGACCCCTGGAACCACGAAGAGACCACTAGGAGACCCCGGGAGACCCACCAGAGACCACCAGGAACTGCCAGCCGTCCCCCAAGCGGTGGAGCACGGCAAAAACTATTTCCCCCCGCCAAATACCTGCAGGGCACGCACCTGCTGCCTCCTTCTTGGCGAGATTCAGGGGAACAAGCAAAACTCCGAGTACTGGTGCGATATGTTCGAAGCCGAGAGGTGGCCCATGTATCGCCATGTCTTGCAATGAATACGGCTCAGCAGATCCTGTGTGAAGACCAAGTAGGACATAAGCGCAAACCATGCACCGAGCGGGAGCCCTGTCCCGGCAAGTTTTTTCCGGGAACCCTCAAACAAAAGACCGAGGCTATCACTCGACGTCTTCTCTTGGCCTTCCGTCAATGAGCCTGGCGTAGTCGTGCGCTCCGAGCACGAAGGGGCAACGATCGAGCAATTGTGCAAAGCCGACTGTGCACCACAGATGCGCAAAATCTTCTTCGCATCCTCCTCGGTGGCCCTTCCGACGGAGAACCTAGACAGACAAACTATTGCGTAAACGCCACGGACCCTCCTGTAAAGGACATGCAGAAGCAGCACGTGCGGAGACCGAGAGACGACAAAGAGAAAAGATTTGATGCACAAGCTTCGACTTCTGTCGAAAACTCAAGCTTCCGGCACAAGTGAAACAAGACTGCGCAGGTCGTGCAGAAATTCTGGACTCGCTGTCCAAATGCACAGCTGGCAGTGGCAGACGCTAGCTTGGCCATCAAAGTCTCACACAATCCGCGGCAGGACCTTCCGCAGTCACCGCGCAGGGAATTCTTACATGGAAACACGTTCATAATTCAGTGCAGCGGCTGGAGATGATTGTGAGTTCTGGGACAGACGACAGGGCATCCTATGAGTCCTGCATCAAGGCAGGGTCTTTCTTTTGCTCCCAGCAAATCACCAAGACGGCTTAGTGCAGCCCAAGACGCATGTTGGTGGCTGCCTGCATTTCGGCATTGCATTTCACAGAACGCAGAACACCAGAGAACTGAGACCATGAGCAGCATGAGAGCACCATCCTGCCTGGCTGGACTGCTCCTCACACTTACTTGTGTTTGCTTGCAATATGGGCCACATGCACCGCAACGCTCCTGCGATGCCTCCAATGGCTCGTCTTCCAGTGGATCCCAAGAGTCCAAGAACTGCCTTACGACTCAGGGGAGCCCTGCTTGCCCCAGACCAGCTCACAGCCCTGTCGCACTGTTGCCACGAAATTCCGCGCCATACAAGCCTCCATTATGTATTTTGATAAGCAATACAGTAGGGCTACAGTGAAATACAGAAGCCCTGCATCCAAAAGGCAGCTCTTCCAGTTCGATGGTCTTCTGACCATCACCAGAATCCACATCCAGGCATTTGAACAGCACGTGGACGTTTCCTGTAGGCATTGAAAGCAAGGTCTTAAAGTCTATGTCGGCCACGCGACAGAAGCGAGGCCTTTCCAACCACCGCTTCGGCAGGCACGTCGCAACTCCGAGAACCTCTCGGAAGGCCAGAGCAAAAACAAGTATGCCTTGCGCACTTCACCACGAGACGACGCCCCGAGTAAGGGGCGAAACTCCCCCGCTTCGGTCCTCCAGAGCATCAAGAAAGAACGCACAACGCGCAAGCGCAAACAGACAAATTTCAACAACTCCTTGTCCATGGACCTTGCAACCAGTATAACCAGCAATCAGAACGACAGCGGTGCCAGCACCAAATGCTGACTCGGCGGCTTGAACAGATGCTCGAAGGATCCGTAATGCGCATCACACCAAGCCTGCCATAAGCAGAGGTGGATCTGACCTTCATGCTCACTGAAATCAATGAGTGCCTTGAAAGACGTCAAGATCTTGGCGCTGGCGGCATCAAACTCTCGGAGCGTTATGGTGCCTGACAGGAATCCATGATTCACTACACAGAAGGGCAACAGGCAGAAGGCTGCAGGACGGGGGTGCTTGAGACGGCTTAAGCTGCCACAGGCCTACCCACGTCTACACGAACCGGTTCGCAGCTCACACTTCGGGTAACATTGGGGGAGCCCCGGCCCCAGAAAGTGGAGGTCTCCGGTCTGCAGCTCAGATCTCTCCAGCATTCTGTTTTTCCCATCTTGCAGAGATGGTTCCTCAAAACAGGGAAGTAGCTCTGCATGCATACATGAGGCATGGCAACCTCCGCGCCCACACCTTGGCATCCCCCCGCACTTGGTGGGGTGGGGTGGCCCTCTTGTTCGGCCTCCCTTCCCCCGCCCGCCCTCCCTTCTCTCGGCTTCTTGGTCTCCCCCATGCTCCCATGCTGCAAGTGGCTGCTGGGCCGCTAGCAAGCATCATCCCTATGGTGATTTTACTACAGTCTCTGATACAGGTTGTGTTCCCCTGTTCAGCTTGCGGATGGTGCCCCTGTTCCTGTGGTACAGCCTTCGCTCTGGTGCGGTTCGCGGACATTGCATTGACACCGGTGTCGCCTCCCACGCCTGTGGTTTGGGTGGTGGGCGTTCTGTGCTGGCTCGCGGTGGCGATCCCATCTTCCGAAACGACACTCGCAAACAGCCGCTGGAAGTGTGGGGGCATGGCGGGGTGGGGCAGCTGCGACCCGGGATTACGCCTGGGCCAAACAGCTTTGAACGGACGCGCGCGTGGCCTGAAAGGTCGTTGTCTAATGTTCGCCAGGCTCCGCCCACGTTGCCTGCAAATGCTACGCCAAAGATCGCACCGCTTTAAGGCTCTATAGAGGATCTGGCCTTGGAAACCAACCCTCCGGCAAGCCTCCTGTCCATGAGTTTCAGCAGCTGTGCAGTGCATCCCGCTGGCCCTACACCTACACTCGGATGACGGCGTCCTTGAATTCGCTCCAGGACACGCTGTTGGAGTCCTTGGCTGCGCAAGGCTGAGCCTAGCGACAGCCGGCCCGGGATCGCTAGACTTTTCCGTGCTTTTCGGCTTGGCTCGCGACATCTCGGTCCAGAAGGCCGCGCCAAGCGGCCAACGGATGATCGAACCCTTCCAGCACAGGCTGTTTTCTTTTGCAGGAACCCACAGAAACTGCACACCCCTGCCCACAAAAGGAGTTGGCACGGGATGCAAGAGGCACGACCGAGGACCCCACGCCCCATGATCAGCCGCCGGAGATGCACCTCGTGGAGATTGGAGTAGTTTTAAACAGGCGAGCACGACCCAGAAGGCCCGCACCCATGCTTCTGCATCCGGCTCCGAATAAAGCCATTCTGGAGGATCCCAGGCATCCAGCCACTCCAAGTCTGATCGAGAGAGGAAACCGCAGCCGAAGAAGTCCAACCTCTAGATCCCAGAGTCTGCATGGCAGAGCTGCCCAACAATACATTCAGATAAGCACCTGGCGAGGCAAGCAAAGCTGCCCGTGTGCCTTGATCAAGAATAGGCCGCCAGCCAATTTGTTTTACTGCCTTGCAAGTTGTCCGAACTGAGACAAGGATTGCAGCTAATGGCAACGGACTGCTAAGGCCGGGTTCCTTTGCGAAGGCATTCACCAGCAGTTTCGTCCTGTCGGCTCAGGACGCTCAAGAATCTGAGGTCTAGAATCTAAAGAGCCCCGAGCTGGATAGCAAAGCACAGCTTGGCCTTGACACCCAGGAGCCTTCGGACTGCAAGTTCGAGAATGCATCCGCTACCTGAGACTGAGAGTCTCAGTCGAAGCGCCGTTTAGGAATGGACCGGACCTACGCCCCCTGGCACTGCTGGGGTGGCGGCTGCCTCGTGTTCCCAGGCCGAAGCGCACGAGCCCAGTCTGCCTTGAGCTTTGCAAAACGAAGCTGCCAGAACCACCAGACCGCCTGAGAGCCGCACCTCGAATCCATGTTCGGAAACAGCCCAATGTGGCTGCTGCCTGGGGTGCAAGCTCCTGGCAAGTGGACACATCCCCGGGTGCAAGGCTAAGTGAACACGAAGCCTCCATTCCCAGGCGACCGCTGCCATCCTGTAGAAGCTGTGGACCACAATCGACTACAGAGGCTTCGGCTGGACAGGCTGATCCAACCCGGTCGAGGGAGCGCCAGAGCGTCTGCAGGTCGATGCATTCGCCTTGTAGGGTGCCAGGTGGGTCTCGGCGTACCCCTGTGGTGGCCAAGAAGCGGACGTAGGTTCGTCTCGTGGCGGAACCATCTCCTCGCCAGAATCTTGCTGCAATTTGCTGCAAAAGCTGTGGTCATTACGAGCAATGAATGACATGAAAACAAAATAGACTGTCCGTCATGCTGGGCTGGTCACCTCAAAGGACTTGGTTGCAACTTGTCATCACGTGCACTTCAGACCACATGCGGCAACTGTACTAGAGCCATTGAACTGAGTGCCCTCCACAAAAGATTTCTGCCCAGACATCCCCAGTGCACAAATTATGCAGAAACACATGTGCCCACATACACCGCAAGGCGAAGCTACAATTCTTGTTCCGGCACCCTCTCAATTTTTGTCCGATCTAGACGACGACCTGAGAACCTGCGTTCTCAAGTTGGAATTCTCAATGTGGCCCGGTCTTGAAAGTTGAGAGCGTGAGCTGGAAAGTCGCCTGGGCTATCCAGGAGATGACAAGATAGGACAAGTGTTTGGCATCTGGTCATCGACAAGGCACATCGGGGTCCAAAGCCCTTCTCCATGCACGCACCTGCACCACGGCAAATCATGGTTTCATGAGGTAAGTTTGGCTTTGTACGACTCCGCGGGTGCCTCCGAGCCATAGCTCGCTCGGATATACTCCAAGAAATGCTGGCGAGCCTGAAGCAGGGACACGTTGGCACGTTGGCGCAACGTGCGGGGCCAGGTCGCGGCTGCTTGGTTCTCTTTGAAACGACTGCCGCATCTTGCATTCCACGCCTCTTGATCCCCCCGCCTCTTCGGGTCGAGGGCTGTATCTGTTGTCAGTATAGCTTCAAGTATTCTCAGCCTGAACATCACTCTCTTACGGTGCGTGGCCGGGTGCAGCGTGTTGAACACCTCATGTCTCGGTGCAGTGAAAGGAGTGATGGAGTTTTGAAGGTGCCTCCTGTTGGCGAGCGTGTTTTGTTTAGCATCACTACTTCGAAGCTCCGGCAGCTAGCCGCTCCATGAATGGAGTTTGCTGAACATCTCCGATTGGGCTCATCGCGTGTGCCAGCCGCCATTCCGTTTTGGGCTCCCGGCGTGCCAGCCATCAGTTCATAGCTTCTTCATTTGAGGCTGTGGGATTAGCGAGGCCGCGAATGGTTGAGGGTCCATGATGGGTCATCGTCATCGCTCTTCTTACCCTTCAGGCCTTTTCAGGGCTTAGGGCATGGTTCCCTGCGCCAGCACGATTGAAGAAAGGACAAGAACGAAAAGAGTGCTTGTCACATGACAGAATGAAATCCACGAGCTACATGTATGATGTGTCGTTGTGATGGAACACCTCCAGCCTACGATAACTTTTGCTCCATGCAACCCCACCTCCGCGTTTTTGCTCCTTTTTTCTTGAAACCATGACTGGTTCCTGCGGGAGATCACCTAGGTCCATAGCAAGAATGTCCACCACAATGATGCAGACAAATCCTCCTTAGCTTCTGGCCTGCGGCAGGGTCTCGAAGGCACGGTCGTGCCAGGGACGTGGGGCCAGCCTATGGCGATTTGAAATGCCAGGACGTCCTGGCATGCTGAGTTTGTTGTTTGGGGCTGCTAGGCAAGGCAGAATTTGCAAAGAGCCTTTCAGCCATTGGTCAATTCATGGCAGGCTTGCCGCGGTCAGCCTTGTAAGTCTCTGCCAAGAAGGCATGGTGCACATCCTCGGAAAAATCCAAACGACAAAATCCCGCTTCTCACCTGACGAATGTGAAACACTTGCATTCGTGCTGCCTCCTTGGCAAACTTCAACTGGCTTTGCCTGATAGTCTCTTGCCTGGAATGCACATGCCGACACTAGCAAGCACCATATCAAAGGCAGTCACAAAGTATGTTTCCTCGCTTCTCTGCTTTTTTGGGATGCTCTTTGCAATCTTTGTCGCCTTTGACATTCATAACAAAGGTCACATGTTTGCCAGAATTCCTTTTCGTCCAGCTTGGCTGCGGCTGAGGAAGCTGGTGCACTGGCCTTGTTTTAGGCAGTGCATCAAAACAGAAATTCCTGCAGGCACCTTTTTCCAAAGAATTTCCAGTGTTCTCCTTCTTGAAACCCGAATAATTTGAGCAGAACCAATGGCGTGATGTCTTGGGGCGCCCTCTTCCCAGAAATAAGATCCTCGACCAGGGCCTGAACTGACTGGCCTTTGCGTGAACCATAAATGCATGTGTATCGCTTGTTGTGTTTGAACTCGTGCAGAACGTTGTTTCCTCTCTCTCCGGGATCAGACGCTGCATGGCGCTTGTTGGCGAGGAAACGAAAAAAACAGGCCATCTTGGCCAAAGACAACATAAGCAGCAAGTCTGCCGCAGGTGGCGGTGGCGGCAATGCAAGCAGCCTATGCCCAAAACCCTCGCTCATCAAGTCGGGCAGTGTTCGTCTAGCAACTTCGCGCCCAATCTTCCTCCTTGACCATGCTGCCTTGTGTTCGCTAAATTGAGGACCAGGGCCTAGGTGGCTAAAGCGGATGAATTGTTTCATGTTGAAGAACTTCGCCGTCCGCCTTGCGACACGGGCATCTAGTCGCAGCCATCTCTTCTTGTTGGAAACACCTCCTTGGCTCATGCCCCTGGAGAGTCGGAGCCGGCAAGTCAATACTTTGAGTGCCAGGGTGGCTCAGTTTGGTTATATATAAGTGCTAATGTGGCGGCTCAACTGGATACCACGCGCTAGCTAGCCCAGTGCTAAATCATCATAAATGGAACGCGATCGGAAAAGCGTGCTTTGAGAAATTGTGCCGTTTTCGTTTTGAGCTGTTTATACGTAGCTTTTGGCCTGGGAACAACCATTGACGGGCTGCACCTGTGCTTCTCGAGCCACAAGCCTGCAGCCATCTTGGGCTGGTTTTGCGGTGTCGGTTGACTCTCTGCCTTTCGGTGCAAAAGCTGAGGATCGCCGTCAGCACAGTTGGTCCCAACCAAGAAAGTAATGCCGTGTTAGTCCAGGAGTTGTTACGAGCTCCATGAATGATCGCGGAAGAAGTAACATGGACTGAAAAGCTCCATTCAGCCGGGGCACTGTCGTATGCCTTCGTCGGCCTCCAGAAACAAGAAGTCCTCTGGCGAAAGATGGTCTTTGCCTTTGCTGCAAAGGCCTGGGAACGAGGCTCTGCACTCCAATAAACGGCATGCTTCACTTGCAACCCTTATAACGTCTCAGGCTGCGACAGAACAGGTCCCGCAATTCATCACCTCCCGGGTCGAAGCCGTGCCTCCGGTGGCGCTGTGCAGAATGAAAGCACAGCATCCTGCGCAAATGCCCGTCCTCCGGCAGAACGACACGAACTGTTCGAAACTCAACTCCATATTGCTGCCCGCTTCCTGCACATCTTCAAGGAAGTTCCTGGCAGTCAGATGGCATTGCATGGCATGAAGCAGCAACACAAAGTCTACAACCAAACTCACAATTTTGCCAATCTGGCCTCATGTTTCCAAACTGTGCAAGGAATCGTCGGAAACGGCAAACCAAAACTCCTGCCTCAGAGTCAGCCGTCAGCATTTCATGGTAACGGAATTTTGCTGCTTGGAACACGGAGGTTCTGACGTCGGGCGCTATCTCCACGAGGCACAATGCTTCGCAGCTCCCGAACTGCAGCAGGAGGACATGTGCTGCAGCCTGGGCCGCCGCAACTTGCGTGTCGCGGGTTTCCCGGTTCCCTTCAATCAAGCGATGCCATGTTTTGTGCCTCTCCACCTTCCAGGCTCAAACCAAGTGCCACCCGACACAAATCCTGCCATACAAATTTGGTTCGTCACAAAGAACTTCAGTCGCAACTCACCACACCGACTCCTGCTTGCTTGCACGCTGGCGAAAATCCGGATCCAACTGAGTCCTGTCTCCCGGCCAGTGTGGCAAGTTGGTTCTTTGAGTGTTACACATAGTGTCGATTTGGGGGTCTGGGGTAAACTTGTTACACGAACGGAAGTAGGACGTGTGTGCATAAATATGTCCACGCCTCCAACCACGCAAGAAGCTTCCACCTCCTGCTTTTTTCAAGCGCTGCAGAAATCGACTGCGAATGAGCGAGGCCACCTGCTTCAAGAGCTCTTGACTGAATCTGCAAACGGAAACCGTTGAACCAGGACCTCGCGCTTGCCATCCAGTGTTATGGGGCCGACCTCCCAAGGTTATAGGCACTCTACCGCTTTGGATACAAACGTCACGACATCACAAGCTTTGTGCATCTCGACAGGTTCCCCGAGAATAGCCCCTAACTTGCAATCCGCTTTGATTTCTTCGGCTTTGGGAAATCAGGAAGGACCGTTTGGACCTGACCCGAACACGTGAAGTCCGGATGAACTGAATGCACGGACGCAGCAAGTCACCTCATCGTCCATTCGGAGACAGGCGGCGGCCTGAACCGAAAAGATCGACTTCGACGGGAAATCCAATGAGCACTTCTCAGGACCCCGCCCATCAGGCCCATCACAGCCACATGTGAAACGAAGGAAGCCAAGCCTTGAGCCTACGTTCCTCTGTCCGCACAGACAACAATATCGCACACGAAGCCGCATGTGTGTTTCGCGAAATCCTCGCACGCCAGGGCATCCCAGCACAACATTGGACACGCTGCTTCTCTGGCAGAATGGCTTCGGCAACCACTTTGCAACTCAGGCCGGCACTTCTTCAGCTTTCCATTTTCACCGTCAGGGAATCTAGCATTCCACCTCGCAGTAACATCATCCGGCATCGCGTAGATTGCACTACCCGACACTGCAACCCGGAACAACATTTGGGCCAGCACGATCCATTGGAAGTGTCGGGGTGGATTCGAACTTGGCATGCCAGTTATGCAAATACTCGGAATAACTCGGTGACATCGCTTGCGTGCAATCCAGAAACTGACCCTTTGGGGTGATGTCTGACGAAATGTGTACACAAGAGCGGCTTGGTTTCGCAACTTCGAAAACCTGAGCTATGAGGAATCACGTGCTCGAATGATGTCTAATGCCACACCGCCTGCCGTCATCAACAAGGTTCGCGAGAATCGGCGACATGCCGGGTCGCACACTGGGCGCCAGTTTGCTCGCGACGTAAAGCGACTTTTATCGCAACAACTTTGGAGCACAATCGCAGCTCGAACATTGTCGTGCTTCGCACGTCACCTCCGCAAAGGCTCGCGCATGCAACCTGCATACGCTGCTTAATTCGGGACAACTTCAAACATGCCTCCATTAACCATGTCCTTAAACATCTCCGTCAACACGAATTGTGAACCAGGGCTACATATGAGTCATATGAGCATCCACTGAAACGCCCGCGGGGCTGGGTTTTTTTCTTTTGCGTACGGTCCGCCTGCGCGTCGGCGGAGCTAGCTGGCAGCTACAGGAGGCCAGCCATCTATCATCGCCATTCGTCAGCCCGATGCGGAACTGCGACGCCAACTGTCCAAAACAAGAGTCGTGTCGACAGCGAGCTGGACGCCGCCCCAAAGGAACGGCATGCTGCGGCATCAAGAGGCAGTGGGAGGCGCAGCCGCGAGAACACGATAGGCAGCTGTTCAAATCGAGGCGCAACCCCGGAGGGCGGCGTACACTCGACTGGCGAAGAGACCACCCTGGGCCGGCACGGGTCCGTCGCAAAGGGTTTGGCAGCTCCAGCAAGAAGGCGGCGTAGGCGCGGACGGGCGCGCGACCCAGGCAGTGGCCGCGGCAGGTTGGGAGGCGGCATGGACGGTGGCGGCTGTGTGCCTTGGGCGTCCTCTTAGCTTCTTTCTGGTAGGGCTTGACCCGCACGCCGACCGCGGACGAAGTTGCAAGAAGGTCCGGAAAAAATGTATGGTTTGCCGGAGCGGCCTTTTGACAGAAGGTGGCGGCGTCCGGAAAATGCATATAGCGGCGGAGGCATCGTGAGCATCCAAGCTGGCGAAGGCGTTGGGAGCTGTCGGCCTTTTGGTCCGAAACTCCGTCATGAGCCTCACAGCGTCAGTGAAGCTTGTGCGTGGTCCGGCCTGTTGGCGGCAGCCGCGCGCGGAGCGTATGCCGCTTCGTTGCTTGAGCTCGGCTCTGCTGCCGAGCTTGTCGAAAATACTGAGCCAGACCTACATGAGGTCCCCTCTGATGCTTGGCGGCAGCAGGATGTCCTCGCCAACGTGGGCACAAGGCGCCTGGATTTTTTCTTCACGCTTTTCAGCCCAA